GTTTCTTGCTAATTACTTTGCCTTATTTGCCATGAAAACCCTTTGGCTAATTTGACAAGAAACGGCGAATTTGGGAATTTTTTTTTGCTATTTCCGGTTAAAGGTGTCATCTTGAGGGCTCCCCACTAGAAAACTCGGGGTTTGTGCTCGACCCAACTCGCTTTAATTAATGGAATGTTGTGTTTTTCTTTGCTGCTATATATTTGTGTGTGTGTGTGTGCGTGTGTGTGTGTGTGTGTGAGAGTGTGTGTGTTTCCCCTTAAAATTTTCAAGTTTTTTGTGAACTCAGTTAACTGTGTGCTCATTCTTGGAATTCTCTGTTGATTGTGCAGGTTTTCTAGTGTTTTTAGTGAGAAAAGATAATAGAAAACAGATACTTATCTGTGGGGGTGGCCATAACTGATAATGGCTTGTTTGAATTGGAGTATTCATACATCAGTTCTTGTTCTCTGTCTTGTTTTTTCTACTGTGCCGTTTGTCTGTGGATTTACAGACCCTCGCGATGGTAAGAAATAGTTGGGGTTTTTGTTTAATTTGAAAAAAAGATAATAGAAAAAAGAATCTTGTTTAATTTTGTTTCCTCAGTTTATGCGATATACCAGTTACATACTAGTCTGGGCTCTCCATTGCTTCCTAACTGGGTACCTGGGCCTCAGGCAGACCCCTGTGGGCCCCCAAGTTGGCTCGGAGTAGAATGTGTGAATGCAAATATAACACAAATGTATGATTTTTACATTTTCTTGGTTCAGATTATACTTTGTGTAGTGTGTATGATAAGTGAGCTATCTTTTTCTCCCTTTGTATTGAGCATTCTGTGTACTCTGACTGTAGAAATCTAAGTGGGGCGAATTTGGGCGGTCGATTGAGTGAAGACTTGGGATCGTTTGCTTCGATTATGATCTTGTGAGTTCTATTCGAGTGAATATCTGCGTTTATTTCCTAATATTATTTTACTGAATCATGTCATTTGTCTGGAGTTTGTTTGTTAATGTAAGTTTGCTATTGTATGTTGGGGTGATTGTTTACATATTTAGGAATTTGAGCAACAACCATATTGGAGGCCCTATACCGACCAATTTGCCGATCACTCTCACGATTTTGTACGTTTTTTGTTTGGCTTAATTCTGCTGCCATACCTCACCTTACAACTATTTTTGTTTACTATGTTTGTGGTGATGAACTGATGATGTCTTTTTTACTCCCATTTTTCTTTCTTGTTTTTCTTCAAAACCAAAATACAGTGATCTCTCTTATAATCAGTTTGGCGGGCTTATTCCAGACACTCTATCTTCATTAGGTCAATTACAGAAGTTGTAAGTATTTCGTTCATTCAGTTTAATTATGGGTTCCATTGTTTAAGGTAGTGAATAAATTGTACACCTTTAACTATATATGATAATCCTCAGGTCTTTGAAGAACAATCAATTAGCTGGGCCAATTCCGGATGCTTTTCAGTCGTTCACGAGTTTGACTAGCATGTGTGCATTTCGGCTTGTTTGTAATATTAGCTCTCATGAAATATAGTTAAAGGAAATTTGTTTTTGATTCAATTTATATTGTGATAATGCAGGGATTTATCTGGAAATAGTTTGACTAATGTGCTTCCTTCTTCAATGGGTAGTCTGTCATCTCTGACCACATTGTAAGGTTTTTTTCCCTCCTGTTGAATAAAAATATCCTAGTTCTTGTCTCAGTACAATATTTGTTGACTTCGGGTAATCTCGTAATGGGAAAAATCATTTCTTTTTTCTCTTCTTCTTATTGATTGATTCAAAATATTTTAATTTGAGGAAGAAATGATACTCAATTCTGATGATGCTTCTTTCTTCGCACCACATTTTTCACCGTAGTCGATCATTGGATCAAAACTATTTACGCTTTTGCGTATAGATATGTTTTGCTAGTCATTTTGGCATATAGAGAATGGAGGTGAAATGTTTGTCAGTGGGGAGACATTAGGAAAGTCGGGATTTTTCACACCTTTAAGGTGTTTGCAGGCATTTGCAGAACAATCAGCTTACTGGATTGCTCGATGTTCTCCAAGACCTTCCTCTAACAGATTTGTACTGTACTTCAACACATGAAAATTATGAACATTCCACATCTCCCAAATTGGCGTTGCTATATGCTGATTGTTTTCTTGTTTTCCTTCAGGAACATAGAGAACAACCTGTTCTCCGGGCCTATACCCCCAAAATTACTTAATATTCCTGATTTCAGGTGAAAACCAAATTCTCATTACAAAGTCTTGCACATATCTTTTGGGATTACTTCATCCTTTTATCCACTTGCTGCATTTTCTTTCTTTTTTCCTTTCCTTTTCTTTTAATTTATTATTATTGTTCTGTAAACTTTTTTTTTTAAAAAAAAAAAAATTACAGACAAGGTGGCAATCCTTTTAACACAACCATCATACCTTCCCCACCATCTTCGCCTCCTTCACTAGCCCCTTCCGAGGCTCCTGCAAGTCAATACATTGGTCAAGTTCCCGTGCATGGACCACCCGTACCAACTGTACCAACTGTATACAATGTACCTTCTCCACCTCAGGAAACTGGAAAATCGGGGAATAAGACCACGTGGATTGCTATTGGTGGGTTTTTGGTGGTAGCACTGCTCGTTTTGGTACTATGTGTTTCAGTTTTCAGATGCTGTAAGACAAGTCGGGCGGGCGAGAAGATCCTCCCGGGTGGGACCCACAAGCGGAATACATCTTGGCAAAGCCCTTTTGTCCAAGAACAGAAAGGTGGTTTTAACTTGTTCTTCTTCACTCTTTTACAATTTGACCCGTTTCATGTTTGTAGCTATTGTGTCGAAATTCCGAAAAAATCCACTTGAAATTTTCTTACATTTTAAAATACAAAAAAATGCAACTTTTTGGCTTCTTTTCTTATTGCAATTAGCTTCCAAGCCGATGGAGATGGCACCAGCTAGCAGTAGTCAGATAAAGACTGGATTTTTAAAGCCGGGTAAAGATCATAGTATAGACATGACGAGATCGGATAATGCATCACCTGGGCCCCTCCCTTTCCCCCTTCTTCCAGCTGAGAGGGTTGTTGTGGATCCTACCGTTAGCTTGATGGCCATGAAAAAAGATAGCACTTCTAAAATTTTGGAATCTACACAATTCTTCACAGTTGCTTCTCTTCAGCTGTATACAAACAGTTTCTCTCAAGAAAACCTTATTGGGAAAGGCACGCTCGGGTCAGTTTATAGAGCCCAGCTTCCTGATGGAAAGGTATACATTGCGTGCAACTTAATTATGAACTGCTACCTTTTTCGCTTGTGTTTGCAAAAATTCCAGTCTTGGCCGTTTATTGTCAGCCTTTTTCAGTTGTTGTTTTGGTCATGAAAGACAAACAATGGTATTTTTTCTAACTGTTGATGTTGTCAAGTGATTTGTAGTCTTTGCAGTAGATTTTTTCTTTTCTTTACAAGACATGTTATGGCGATTGGTCTTAATATTGAATTTTTTTACATTTGTACTTTTTTTTTTTTTGGATGTCCAGGTTGTGGCTGTGAAGAAGCTGGACAAGGCGGCTACAGGACATATAACTGATCGGGAGTTCCTTGATCTTGTTGCGAAAATCTCTAAACTTCACCATGAAAATGTGGTTGAACTCATCGGTTATTGCCTAGAGCACGGGCAACGTTTGCTCGTCTACAATTATTGTCGAAACGGGACTCTTGATGAAGCACTAAACTTTGATGATGCTATCAATGAGAAGCTTTCGTGGAATGTTCGCATGCGTTTGGCTCTTCAAGCTGCAAAAGCGCTCGAGTATGAATTTGCTGGTCATAGAGTATTATTATATTATGTCAAGCTCATTTTTGCTTGCTATCTTTCATCTTTTTTTTTTTTTTTTTTTTCCTTGTTTTAATTCCAATCTTTTAACATTGTTTGTATGTTTTAATTTGTTAAGATATTTGCATGAAGTGTGCAAACCACCTATTGTGCACCAGAACTTCAAGTGCTGTAACGTGCTCTTGCAAGATGATCTTTCTGTTTGTGTTTCTGATTGTGGTTTGGCTCCTCTGATGTCGACAAATTCCATTGCTCAGGTAAATCATTCATTATTAAGGGTAATTGCAATTCTCTTAAAAAAAAATAGAAATGCCAGATGAGGTTTATATTTATTTCAAAAAATCACCTCCCTTAATGTAGGAATTTTGTAAAATAGTAATTTATCATTTGTATTAACAAACTTAATCTCTTTCACTTGAAATTTTACTAACATCACTAGTGTTTTTTTTTTTTAGCTGCAAGGTTCAGGTTACGGTGCCCCGGAGCTCGAATTCGGGAGCTATTCTTCACAGAGTGATGTCTACAGCTTTGGAGTTGTTTTGTTACGGCTTTTAACGGGTCGGAAATCTCATGACAGGTTCGGAAAATATGATTGAGCCCTCTAAGTCAAGTAACTATATATCAAAATACCCTTTTTAACTCGTGATTTCGAAAGGCCTAACTAACTCTACTACATTTGCGGAAAAAAAAACTAGGTCGCGTGCTCGGGGGGAGCAATCTCTCGCGAGATGGGCATTTTCGCGACTTCACGATATAGACGCTTTGTCGAGAATGGTGGACCCCACGATGAACGGTGCTTATCCGTCCATGTCACTATCACGCGTGGCAGACATAATATCGTTGTGTATTCAGGTGACTTTTTTTACTCATGACAAAAACCTTTGTTTTTATGTAGTTGATTAAATTTTTAGGAAGTTCTTTTTAGATATTTTTAGTTTCTTAGGGTGTGTTTGCATATAAAAAACCTCAATCCATTCTCAATTCATACTCAGAATCTAGTTCATTTTTTTTCCAATTCCACTGTCGTCAATATTATCAATATAATTAAATAATACTAACCAATTATTATTACAGATCACATCAACTTTAATTTACTATTTATCCACTAATATAATTTTAACTATCATTTCACATCATTTTTTTTCCTACTTTTACATCAAAAAATCAACTTTATTATTTTATTTTAAATATCATTTTAATATAAAAACAAAGTCCCACTACAACTAACCATACCACTATTTCTAAAATCAACTCTCATTAACTGAAAAAAACTCATTTTGAGCGGATATATTTGTATAAAAACACGCCTTTAAATTGCGGGTTTGATTTGCCCGTGAAAAACCATTCGGTCAGGATTCTGCATCAACAAATCCTCTTGTTTTCTTGTCATATGATTTCTTTATTGGATTTTATATTTGGTACTTTGGTGTTAAACTGATCTGTAACTTTTGCAAAACAAAATAAAACTATAAAGTATCGAACAATTTTAATATGTAAGGGATTTTTTCTGTGACAGCCCGAGCCGGAGTTCAGGCTGCCAATGTCCGAAATCGTCCAGAAGCTTCAACGCATTATAAAGAACTGAGTACGTTTCGCTGACGATCTTTAACGAGATTTGGAACTCAGTGTTCCTTAATCTTGGCTCTAACTTAGTATGGGACTTTCTACAGATCCATGGCTGCAACTTGCTGCTCTGTTGTTATAACTAATAATGTCTATGGCTCATGTACTTTGTTTTACAAGTGTTCTTTGAAATCATTTAACTGTACCTTAAGTTTGGTGCTTGTTGGATAGAATATGCTTAAATCTTACTGTTAAGTTTTGGCTTTTGTTTAATATGTGAAATTAGACATTGGCCTAATATTAGGCAATGTTTGAATTATCCATTTCCTTTAGCGAGATTGGCCTAATATTAGGCATTGTTTGAATTATTATTTTTCTTTCTTTTATCCAAAATAATATTTTATTTTTGGTACAAAGACAAAAGTCTAGACCATTAGATAGTTATATTCCGCGGGTGAGCTATCTCAAGAAAGTCATGTTGTAGCCACGGTTTAACTACTGATGGTGGGTCTAATGATCTCTGACAGCCAGTATGACAACGATGAGCCAGAGACGTCAAGCAGTCGGCTGCGAAATTAGCTTCTCTGTAACAGTGAGACATAGTAGTTACACAGTCTCGGCTAAGCAATTCTTGAATGGCCCGAACCAAGCTACCAGGAATTCTAAAGTTTTCTGTTGGACTTCCTTCGCCATGGACACCACACTTACAATAATTTTACGATAACCCAGATCTCATGCAATCATCAAACCTTGGTAGAGGCCCCATAATTTTGCTCCCGTGATAGAACAACACCCAATATTCATCAGAAACTCCCCTCAACCATCGACATCACGAACCAAACCCCCGGCGGATGCCATTCCAGACGAATTCAAGAGTGAACCATCCGTATTGATTTTGACAGCGCCAGCTTCAGGAGGATCCCAGCGAGTGAAGTGGACTTCACGTAGATAGAAACTTTTCTCGTTGTACAGAGAAAAAATAGCAAAAGTGAAAAATTTTGTAAACATGTAATTATTAATTTGGCGTGCGGCAAGAAATATAGCTTGAAAAAGTTTTTAAAAAATTTTGAAATCAAAATTATGCGGGTGTAGATATTATACGCTTTAAAACATATATAATTTTATAACTACAATTAAAAAATTAATATTATTGACAAAATTATGTGTTTGAACACGTAATTTTAACTAACTATATATCACTCAGTTTGTTCTTTATTACCAATATAATTTATTTTTTTACAATTTAAAAATAACATTATTTTATAAAAAAAATATTATACAAGTGTTATTTTTATAAATATTCTTATAGTACACGAAAATTTTACTAATTTTATTTATTATTTTACAACCGTTAATGTGAACTTTGCAGACAAGTAAATATATGAAAAGAGATTGTAGAGTGCTTTGTAAACAAGGGTAGAAAAACGTCCATACACTATCTAATGATACCCAAAAATGTGTTAATATTTTTACTTACGTTTCCGTCAATATTGAAGCAAGATACACGTTGATTTTAGTATTGAGTACAGATTTTCATAATTATTTGATTTTCATTGATCAAGTAAAGCGTCAAAATTGAATTTGTGTGAACTGAATTACTTCTTGAATAATCGTTACTACAACCAAATTGACATATCTGGTTAACAGATCAAATCATTTTCTAATTCCGTCTCATTACGACACTTTTGTGGCTTGTACACAAATTCTGATAAACCCAATAAGCATAATTCAAATTCTCTTAATTAATTTTACCCTAAGATAAACTTGAAGTTCAAATTATTCATCGCATCTGACTAGTGGTTCGAATGGACCGAAACTTTCTGACACGAGAGAGACGAGACGAAGTTTGTAGGGAAAATCATCTTATTTGGATGATCCAACGTGCTTTATTAACCAAGAATATATAACACATAATTAGAGCTACCGTTATTGAAATATAGCCTAATGCTAATACAGTTAATAAAATATATACACAATAACACCTCCCATAAAGTTGGAGCATGCGGATTTCGAATGCCCAACTTGCCAAGAAAGAAATCAAATTCACGCTTCCTAAACGATTTGGTGAAGATGTTAGCGAGTTGTTCCCCAGAAAGAACATGAGTAGTAGGAATGAGATCCTGAAGAACAACACCACGAACAAACTGACAATCCACCTCAATATGTTTAGTGCGTTCGTAAAAAACTGAATTCGCCGCAATATGCAATGCAAACTGACTGTCACAGTGTAACCATATAGGTTGAGAGTGAACGACTCCAAGAGTAGATAACAGACCCTGTAACCATCGACTCGCACAATGTAGTAGTCATCGCCCGATATTCAGCCTCAACAGAAGAGCGACAACAATATGTTGTTTCTTGGTTCACCAAGAAACATGAGACTGACTCAGCTGAATAAACAAACCAGAAAGAGATCGCCAAGTGAGAGGTAGATCGCCAAGTGAGAGGGCAAGACGCCCAATTCGAAATCAAACTATGCATAGAGTTTAAGATCGCAGTACGAAGATGGATTTCCTGATTAGAAGAGTCTTTCAAATATCGAACTACACGCAATGCAGTAGAGTCCCAGTGAGCTAGACGCGGATGACGCATAAATTGAGAGAGCATATGCACCAAATAAGACAGCTCATAACGAGTCACTTCCAGATAGATAAGATGTCCGACTAAAAGACGATGTTGCTCGGGATTAGACAATAGATCACCTTCAGCAAAAGAAAGCAGATAATTGTTCATTAACGAAAAAGCTGGCTTGCTCCCGAAAAGTCCGACCAGCAATTATGTCAAAGGCATACTTCCACTGATAGAGAAAGAAGCCATAAGAATTTCGGGCGACCCTCGATACCCAAAAAATACTTAAGCAACCCAAGATCTTTAATGTGAAAATAACGACTCAAGTAACTCTTGAAGGCCGTAATGGATGCAATATCATTCCCGAAAACAATCAGATCATCAACAAAGACCAGAACATGCATATAGATAGAACCATGATGTAGTGTAAAAAGAGAGTACTCATGATAGGACTGACAAAAGTTATAGCCAACTCGGCAAACCAGCAGCGGGGAGCTTGTTTCAAGCCATAGAGGGAGCCACGAATGCGACAAACATGGCCTTCAATGCCATAGAGAAAACTTCATGTAAACTTCCTCAGACAAATCACCATGAAGAAAGGCATTGTGAACATCCATCTGGTTAACTTCCCAATGCCTGCAGCCACAACCAAGAATAACTGGATTGTAACCAATTTGACGACAAGAGCAAACATATCATGATAATCGAGTGTTGAGTACAAGAGAATCCTACGAATTGAAGTGTTCAATTTTTACAATAGGAACTAGAATTGAAAAAAAATTAGATTGCACCTGAAGAGGTATACACGAGTTAGGTCAGAATCGTCCAAAATCCAACTCAGTTTGGGCCAGAATTTCGCAAATAATTTTACAACAAAAAGGATATAGTGGTTGGGCCCATGGCTAACACCAGCCCAGACCGCCCAAAGTCCACTTGTCAAGTTCCAAGGCCCAGGCCCGAGCCCGAGCCGGTCGGCAGGCGCGAGCGCTCACGTGTAGTCGAAACCATCTCCAACACTTGATGCATTCAATTATTATTGTTGTGACCTCTACAATTCTTCTTAATAAAGAGATATATGACTCTTGACCCTTCGAATCTCATTAATGACTACATATAATAGTTTATTTTCCATTCACTGAAAATTAATTTTGAAAAAAATAAATTAATCATTTATTTCTCACTTACTGAAAATCAGTTTTCGAAAAATAAATATATCACAAATATCTATTCAGAACATATAATTTTTCTATACAATTTAATTCAGCTCGAAATAATTATTTAGCCATAAAAAAATCATTTAAAATTGGGTCAAACCAAATTTTGAACAACTGAATTTCTAACATTTAATTCTGTTAGTTGTTTGATTATTATTAATTAAAGAAAAAAAAACAGTTACTTTTAAACAAATTATATACTACTAATTAGTTGTCTCTAAAAGTTGGCTATTTAAAATTCTCATATAATTTTGAAAATTGCCTTTTTCATAATATTCTTTTTTTCTCAATTATTTATATGAAGTAGACGTAACACAAAGACTAATGAAATGTGAATCTCAAATTTAAATTAAAGACGTTAGAAAAAATGGCCCCATCTCCACAAAAATAATAAAAAATAAAAAATAAAAAAAATACAGAAAATTA